GTTAGAAAGAGATGCAGCTGCGGTTCATAGTAAAATGTCAAAAGTCTTCTGGGTAGAAAGAGAGGCAGCTGTGGTTCATGGTAAAAGCCTTCTGATTAGAAAGAGAGGCAGCTGCGGTTCATGGTAAAAGTCTTCTGGTTAGAAAGAGATGCAGCTGCGGTTCATAGTAAAATGTTAAAAGTCTTCTGGTTAGAAAGAGATGCAGCTGCGGTTCATAGTAAAATGTTAAAAGTCTTCTGGTTAGAAAGAGGCAGCTGTGGTTCATGGTAAAATGTTAAAAGTCTTCTGGTTAGAAAGAGAGGCAGCTGTGGTTCATGGTAAAGTGTTAAAAGCCTTTGTAAAACGATAAATTTGTTTACAAAAATGTAGATTTTCTTGATAAAGTATTTCTACCAATGATTTGTCTGTGAATTTCCAAAGCCTTTACTGAGTCAATCAGAGTGAAAGGTGATGCCTTTACTTAGTTGATCAGAGTGAAAGGCAAAGCCTTTATTGAGCTGATCAGAGTGAAAGGTGAAGCCTTTACTGAGCTGATCGGAGTGAAAGGTGAAGCCTTTACTGAGCTGATCGGAGTGAAAGGTGAAGCTTTTACCGAGTCAATCAGAGTGTAAGGTGATAAAGTATTTCTACCAATGATTTGTCCATGAATTTCCAAAGACTTTACTGAGTCGATCGGAGTGAAAGGTGATTTTCATGATAAGAATAAAAATACTTCTTTACATCTTACAGTTTTCGTGTTTCACTCCCATAACCTCTAGAACCTCAAAAGTTTTATTTGGTAAAACTTTATATTTTATATCTTATTTTTTGTAACACTAACTACAGTAAAATTATAAATATGTGGAAGAAAAAAAGTTAAAAATATGAAATAAAATTAATAATACGTTCTTTTTTTAAACGACTACAGATTTTAAGAGAATTGCAATTATTTATCCTATCAGTCTCAACTTTCTAATTTTTCATTTCTACTGGCTTTTAATTTTATTATTGGACAATGCCCTTTAAACTCTGTATTATTTTGTAAAAAGTAATTAATCATAATGAGATGACTTAGTGTAAACAACCAATTTATAATCATGTGACACAGTTTATTACTTCTTTGTTATGTAACATAATAAGTTTCTAATTTTTACATTTTAGTCACCTTTCTTAAAAATGTATAACAAACAAAAAGTTCTGGATTTACATTGGAGTTGAAGCCAATTTCAGTAATTTGTACTTGGGAGTTAGAACTAGTTTTTCATATGCTGGTTCTCCATAAAATCATTAATGTTCCATTCAAATATGTATTGTAAAACAAAAATACATCAAGCACCAGAACAGAATATCCCAAAACTACTATAATTTAGCCGACTTTCTAATTAAGCTATAAACAGAAAAATTAAATTGGGAACAAATGAAACTGAGGCTTAATAACTCAGTTGAATAAAAGAATTAAACAATAACTACTAAATGGAATAAAAAAATGTTTTAAATTATATCATACATTGCACATTTTGGCATATCTGCTTTGGAAAAAGTCCAGAAAAGGGGTAACGAGGTTAACTTTCAATACCAGAAATATCAAATATCCATTTGATATAAACATTTTTATTAAGGTTAAGAAACACAAATTGACAACTTTTTTTAAGGAAGTTTTGGGAGAACTGATGTACCAAAGTAAAAATGAATGTGATCATTATGAATACTGTTCTCTAGCACCAAACATTAATTTTATCTTTTATCTTCTACCAATAGGTAGGACCATTTTACACTGCAGAATAAATTAACAAAAATACAATAAAAACAGAAAAAAGGCAATAAAATCAAAATCAGGGTGGAGGTTGTTAATACTGATGGCTATCAGATAAAATAAAGTAAGTTTACAGTCTTCAAAACAAAAGAGACTTATTTAGCTCTGATAAAATCAAAGTCAGGGTGGAGGTTGTTAATACTGATGGCTATCAGATAAAATAAAGTAAGTTTACAGTCTTCAAAACAAGAGGAGACTTATTTAGCTCTGATAAAATCAAAGTCAGGGTGGATGTGGTTAATACTGATGGCTATCAGATAGAATAAAGTAAGTTTACAGTCTTCAAAACAAGAGGACACTTATTTAGCTCTGATAAATCAAAGTCAGGGTGGATGTGGTTAATACTGATGGCTATCAGATAGAATAAAGTAAGTTTACAGTCTTCAAGACAAAAGAAGACTTATTTAACTCTGATAAAATCAAAGTCAGAGTGGGGGTTGTTAGTGTTAACAACAATAAGATAGCTTTATTATTTCTTACAAGATTCTTTAACAATAGGGTTAATCACAAATATTACAAGCTGTAGTTCATAACCTTCTATTAATTAGTACAGTTGATAAACTTCCATAGCAGAAGATAAACTTAATTAATTGTGCCTGCAGAAAAACATGAGCAACAATCTTACCATAAGATGCAAATACTCTTTTCATTTTCTTGGGTAAAGACTCTGAATGGGACAATTTAGTTAGCTTCCAATTCTGAAGCACTACAGAGTGAATGGTATTAAGGTCATTATCTGATAGATTTCCTGTCTGACAAACGTCCTTCTTATTATCTGAAATTAAGAACATCAAATTCAACAGAATTTTTTATTTAATTTTTTAACTTCTTAAGCAATTCATTATTTTTTCATTTTCAATTCTAATATATTACTACTTATCAAAATGAAATATTAAAAAACAAAAAACACACTGAAAATCTAATTTAATGTAATTTTTAGGCTTTATATCATTACTAATCAGAGTTCTTAAGACACTAATAGGACATGAAATCACACCACAAACCAATATGGAGCTATGTACTCATAAGCAAAATGAAGCTTTAGTTATCAAAAGAAAAACCTCTTCAACTCTAAAAGCCGCTGCAAAGAAGTTGGACATATATTCTGGTACAACTAACAAAGTAATAATAATAAACAAGGATTCAAAACTGATGAAAGTTCACAAGCTAAACATTTACAGCCACACCTCAAAATCAAAAACTATTTTCATGAGAAAGATGCTGAAGAAATTGAAATCACAGAAACTTAATTTGGCCATTTACCTGCCAAGTCCATTAATCCAGTTCCAATGGACTTTTGTACATTTGGTCTACTGAAATGTAGTCTTGGAAGCCGAAATACATATTGAATGGAAAATGTATGGAAAGCTTGCCAAGTTCCATGATCTAATATTACACTTATCAACCTCTGCCAATGCATGTTTCCACGGAACTACAGTGTCAAAGTAACAGTGCAAAATCATGGCCATCAGTTAACATTTCAATGGAACTGTAGCATCAGGCAACAGAGCATAATCAATGATGGAACAAGTATCCAATGGACAGCACAGTACTTGGAATACTGTTCTTAAAAGGTGTAATTAACCATCAGTAATGTATAATGGGGTAAAAATTAAACATTTTACATCACTTTCTTGTCCTGCAAACAGTGATTAAAGGTCATAGGTTTTTCTCTATACATATAACTACTAACCCTTTCTTAGGGTCAATGAATACATTTTATTCAAACTTGCCTTCAAAAAAGAAGGAAATATGTCTACACTTTCTTTCTTTTGCTAAACATGGTATGATATCTGTAAACACTGATACTTTTTTAAATCATTTAAATGATACAGTGTGAAAAGTCACACCATGACCACATATACAATATCCAAGCAAAGAGAAGAAACTTCAGAAAGAGAATAGGTATAGCATCTAGCCATAGTGCTACAGAAGGTATAGGTACAGCATCTAGCTGTGGATAAGTAAGATTTAGTTGTGGCCCAGTATGCAAACTTTACAAAGAGTATAGATACAGGATCTAGTCATGGCCAAGTTGAGTCTAGTTCTGATCAAATTGGATATAGCCATGACCAAGCAGGATCTAGTTGTGGTCAAACATACAAGTCAAGGAAAGTTAAGAAACTTTACAATAGTATACATACAGGATCTAATTATGACCAAGCTGGACCTAGCTGTAACCAAGCAGGATCTAGTTGTGGTTAAAAATGCTAACAAAGAAAAGTTACAAAACTCTACAATAGTATACATACAGGATCTAATTATGACCTAGCTGTAACCAAGCAGGATCTAGTTGTGGTTAAAAATGCTAACAAAGAAAAGCTAAGAAACTGTACAAAGAGCATAGGTACAAGATCCAGCTAAAAAGTGGACAGTTATTTGTTAAGAGATTAATACTGCTGTGAATGAGGTTATTATTATCTAGATATAATTTATACGAGACTTCTCATTAAAGCCTACTTCAGTGATACTTCACCTTTTCACAACATGAGCACTTGATGGCAGACTATGTCACCCTCCTCTCCACAGGGTTAATTTAGAAGGTATGTTCTCGATGATTAAGCCACTTATTATCAAGACTAACTAAAAGCAGAGAGTAAAGCACTGTAACTACAAATGTTTACTGAAGTGGTTCATAAATGTACCTACAGAATTCACATGGTGTGCACAGCTTAAAAATTAATTAACCCTGTAAAAGGTGCCACACCTTAACATTAATCAAAGCTGCTAATGTTTGTATTTTATCATATAATGCATCATATGTATATTATTATCTTTTAAATATGTAACTCCTTTTTTGTTATGATTCTCCAACCATCCCCATCACTAATGTTCATGGGAAGGGTTAAATGAATATATGCTCATTTAAAACTTACCAGTGAATTGATCCTTTACTATTTTCTGAACATTTCCCTGCAGCTGAACAAAACATTGGAATGATATATCAGACATCTCAGGTATGTGCTCTAGATGAGTTCTTATATCCTGTCTTGCATGTTCTATGTTGTAAATTGAAGGTTTACAACTGGTGATAAGGTCATGATAAAAATTAGCATCTAAAGAAGAAGGATCATACAGTGGATATACAGAAACTGATGACGAGGAAACTGGATTGTCACTCACAAGAAGGAAGTTCAGGTCTTTTGTATGATCTTGTATTTCCAAAAAGGGTGCTAAAACAAAGAAAAACAAACATTAAAAAACTAACATGCTTATGTCTTTGGACTGATATCAACTGATTAAGAATACAACAGTACTGACTTAAAGGCCTACGGTTCATACATATAGTTTCTTGTATTTCCTTACATACATAAAAAAAAGCATTCTCTATGATTACTGATGTTTACATAAAAATGTTACTATCAAACGAGACTTGAGTATAACTCTCATAAAGCAAGAATTCAAAACCAAAAAAGGTTTTTAAATAGCCACCACAGTTGGCCATATTTTTTATTAAAAGAGGAATAAACAAGATACTTACAGTTTATTAAAAATAAAATCATATTATTATTAAATTTTTTTTATATACTTTGAATACTGGCACATGATACAGCATTTTCCTACGCTTTATTCATATCACTAAAGAAATCTTTTTCACATACTTTGAACACTGCCACATAACACAGCTTTTTTCCAAGCTTTTGATGTATACGAATCCCCAATGTCATACTTAGGTAACAAAGTTTTGTCAGCAATTTTTAGTCGAAGAATTACTGAAACCTAAAAAACAGAACATTCTTTTATAAGTTAAATATTTAAAATAATAATAATTATTGCTGCTGCCTCATACACTGGTCAATTAAACTATCTGAGGCCACATAATGTATCTTCAAAAAGTGCTTCCTACATCTGTAGGTCTAATGTTTCTACTTCATTCTCCTTAACTTATGAAAAAGACACATGTGTAGCAAATGGCTAGCTAAACAATATAATCAATAAAGTGTGGGAATTATGTACATGAGACAGTAAGTTAAACATACAAATCAGAAAAGCAACTGTTAAATTTAAGCAACAGTTGATAATCAGATTACCAACAGAAAATACCTTAGAATGTCATGTTGAAGAGGAAGCTAAAAATAACCTGTAGTTCAGTTTATCAATAAAGCATAAAACAAATTTAAACAAACATTAAACAGATAGATTATAAACAATAAAAGAAACATACAATTGTTCAGTAATTGGATCTAAATACGAATGCATATTTTAAATGTGTATCACTAGTGAATTTTACATTTCTTAAATAATTCTTCATGAATATTAATATGTTTACATTAGTTAAATATGACAAAGACTGGCTCAAATGAATTCCCATCATAACAATGAAACAATGCTGCTTGATTTTAATCTGAAAAATCTCATTGATCTGAACAGCTATTGATTAATTGATGACCAACATTTTATAACAAAATTATTAATCTACTTGTTAGCTGATGTGCAATATGCAACAGCCTGCTTTACTCATTTTCACTAAATATTTTTAATTTTACTACCCATGTAGGATCTCAACATTAATAAGCAATTTATAGCAGCCTACTTTACACATTTTCACTAAATATTTTTAATTATACTACCCATGTAGGATCTCAACATTAATAAGCAATATATAGCAGCCTACTTTACTCATTTTCACTAAATATTTTTAATTTTACTACCCATGTAGGATCTCAACATTAATAAGCAATTTATAGCAGCCTACTTTACACATTTTCACTAAATATTTTTAATTATACTACCCATGTAGGATCTCAACATTAATAAGCAATATATAGCAGCCTACTTTACTCACTTTCACAAAATATTTTAAATTATACTACCCAACTAGGATCTCAACATTCATGAGCAATATGCAGCAGACTGCTTTATTAATTTTCATAAAATATTTTTAATGCCCATCTAGAATCTCAACAATCACACCCAGAACACTCACCACTTAATTAGTTATAAGAAATCTATAAAAAAATAACATAATCAGACTTTTGTGTTTCTTCCCAAAACATTTTGATGACAAATTAAAGCAATGTGTTGACAAGCACACTTTGAACTTTCTTCAATTAACCACCAATTTAAAACTTCAATTTAGAAAATTTTTCAGGCCTTATTAGTGGTACAAAATCATATTCATGCAAAAATAAATATTACTAGAATACACATTAAATTTTAAGAATTGGTATAAACTTGATTGCCTTACACTAGTGTAAAACTCTCAAGTTTCAAAGAAGTCATTTACCCAAGATATTCATACAAACAAAACTAGTTTAGACAAGTATTCCAACAACAATATAATCTTCTATGTTCTCCATCTTATTGAAAAGCAGGGAACAAAACCATTACACCTCCCAATTTATTCTATCCACTACTACTAAATAACAATATTTCAACATCGTTTTGATCTTTAAAGAAAACTGCTTAGCAATCAACAACTAATTACACAATATATAAATCTGCATATAATTCTGATATTTACCTTTCCCTTGCTGTTAACATAATGTAGAAATTCAGATGCTTGCAGAAACTTTGCTGAGGACTTAACACATCTATTGGCACAACAAAATTAAAGGAAACACTAATACATATGGATCATATAAACAGACTACATGTAGCTGCACATATTATTAGTGCATGCCGGAGAACAAAGAATTTAAGAGAAAAATTCCGACTTATCATTATACAAATCTGTATTGCCTTCAGATAGAAATATATACATACACAGATATTTGAAATAAATAACAAAAATAAATTGCATCTGCTTTTCAAGGATAAATAACTGATATTTAAACCACAGGACCACCATACAAATCTAATGATATATAAAAATATTCATACAAATTACAATATTAAGTTAATTCTTCTTTCTTTCCTTGAGTTACCCCAATATTAAAACAAGAACTTTATTACTTGAAGCATTGAATATCAAACCAAGGACTTTCATACTTAGAATACCTAATATTAAAACAAAGTTTTTAAAAAGGACTAGTGTTCAATCATGGATTAACATTACAGGTTTATTTATTGATGGTATTAAGTATGGTAACGTTTAGCCCTAACTAAAAGAAATAAAAAATATACACAAGTTACAGCATTAATTTATCTCTTTATCAAATATAGGTCGTACTTAATAAAGGCTTAACTAATGTAGGCCTAAGACAAGTGGAGAGATTTCAGTGTCTGCAATTAGAATTATTTTGTATTATTCTAAAAATTCTGTATCTAAAGAAGTATTAGTTTGACTGCAAATGTTTCGCAGGTCTTTTGCTAATACCTAATTTTAAAACTAGAACATTCATACTGAAAATACTTATTATTAAAACAAGAACATTCATACTGAAAATACTTATTATTAAAACAAGAAGTTTTAATAATAAGTATTTTAAGTATGAATGTATTTTAAGCATGAATGTCCTCATTTTAATATTAGGTATTTTAAGCATGAATTTCCTTGTTTTAATATTAGGGGGACTTTCATACTTAGAATACCCAATATTAAAACAAGGACTTTATTACTTAGAATATCTAGTATTAAAACAAGGACTTTATTTCTAGAATACCTCATATTAAAAGAAGGACTTTATTACTTAGAATATCTAGCATTAAAACAAAGACTTTCATACTTAGGATATCTAAATAACAAAGATGTTTTACTACTCCATTTTAACATCACTCAATACTCTATCATATGGTAGACTCCAAGGGTAGGAAGCATTACTGTGTTACAGCATATTACAGTCTGCAAAATGTATCATCTGTTTCACCAACTATTATAACAGATACATTAAAAGGCTTTACCTGTTTTATTTTGACCTCTTTTTTTTTATTACACCAGTTTTTTAGAGAAGCATATTTAATAAGATCATAGCTTGTTTTTTTCCTGACTGAAAATGTTGAAATATAAAAAAAAGGTTACAAAAATACTATAGTAAGTAGAAACAAATTGCTTGGGACCTTTCATTTGTATCAAAAAAGTACTGTCGCGACCATATAAAAAAACAACAACATGAATCTATATCAATATAATAATGGTTTAATTAGCATTAATTAATTTTGTTTCTTTCTTCATCACTGAAGAAGAAAGGTATTATTCAAAATAAACTCTAACACTGGACAACAAAAAATGTTCTATTAGAGAAAACTCAAGTGATTCAGGGTAATTTGATGACGCTGACTTAAAAACTGTAGTCAGAATTTGTCCATCACCTTTAGATTTTGGGTTATTGTAATATATTAATATTTTATCAGCACTATGTGAAATACCATGCAATCAACTCAGTACAATAGATTTATGCTGTGAAGTTAAGATTAGTTGGACAGTTTAATGGGTAAAAGGCATACAATTTTTGAAAACTTCAAACAGACTGTAAAATTCCAAATATATAGTTCATATATGGTATTTGCTCTCAATATAATTGTGAAAATTGCACCACTTTTGTTTCATTTCCATGCTCACCCGCTTGCCCGGGAATCACGAAACCCTTGCATGCTCAATTTGCTGAAACATTCAAGAAGTCCCTCGACTGAGCATTAAAGGTGTGGAGTCAAATGCCTCTCATTCACTCGGTCACTTCACCTTGCTCTGTGCACAGTCAAAACAAAGTCCAATCTTCTTCCTTTCATCATATCCACGATACAGTTAAATTCTGCAAAACTTTGTATTTTAAATCTTTTAAACTCTGTAAACATAAATTATTTTATATTTTTTAGAAAAATCATTTGAAATGCTAGCTGCCTCCAGTTCAAGTAAAGTTCAAAAGTGCAAAAATCACCCAAAAGTTTCTGCTACATTTGT